GGGTCTCCCTCCCGGGGGTAGGCGGGAGCGCCGGCGCGTGGCCTTGGCTGAAACGGAGGCGAGGGCCCCGGAGGCCTGGGCCTGGGGACGCACGGCTCGCAGTTTTCGGTCATCGCTCTTGCAGCGAGCAGGTTCCTAGCAGGCATATAGAGCGAGAGAGGAGTATCGACCCGCTGCGATTGTGATCTGTTCCTGGCTGGATATTTTTTCCCTTAAAAGGCGGTGGGGTTGGGGGGAGGGGTGCGAGGGCTTGGGCCGGGGCTCGGTATCCTGCTGGGGACCGGCTCTGAGCCTCTCTGGGCGGTGGTGGCAGGTGGCAGGAATCCGCCCAGGCCGAGATCTGGGGTTCCCTGCTACAAGAGAGAAAAGGATGGGAAGGCAGCGCCCAGACCAGGCTTCCCTGGAGTTTGCGTCTCAGGATGGAGGGACCCGCCTGGTAGGGACGTCTGCTGGCCTGCGGAGGCAGCCTGGCTTCTGACCCGCTCCTTTCTGCCCAAGTGATCTCCCTGCCCTAGGGATCGAGTCCCTCTGCCCTCTGCTCAGTCTGGAGGAGGCTCCTTGGCCAAATTCAATTAAGCCAATGTTTACTGAGCATTTACTCCCCAGGGCCTGGTGCTGGGGTGGGAGTGGACTGGCCCTGCCCTCCCGGGACTGACTCACTGCCCCACAGGGGAGAAGCATCTCCACCCAGAGGACCCAGCTCTGAGTGTGGGTGCCGGGCCTTGGGAGGGGCCACAGAGAGGTGATGAGGGCCAGGGTCAGACGAGCCTGTGGGCAAAGTGACATTTGAACTGGAGCTTGAAGGACATGGGCACAGTTGGGGTGAGCATTGTGGGCAGAGGGGAGTACATGGACGGAGGCCCAGAGAGGGCGCTCGGGCAGTCAGGTCTGGCAGGAGAACAGGGTGTGTTTGGGAATGGTCATGGGGCTGCCTGGGCTGGGGTTGCTGAGGGGCCTGACGGCCCAGCACTGGTCAGCTATGGTTGCTTCAGGGGAGGCCGCAGTTTCCTCGCCTGTACCAGGGAGCAGCTCTGTGACCCAGGATTGGGTGGGCCTGGGGAAGAGCTGGGAAGACCTCGGGGCTGCTCGAAACCTAGGACCACCCTTTCAGGCAGGGCTGAGGTACTGGCCAACCAACCCCTGGCCCCTCTTCCTAGCCAGCACGGAGGACAGTGTTGAGCTGGCGACTCTGTCCCTTTGGGGTGTGCACGTGTGTGAGCAGTAACTGTGGAGACGTGGGAGTCCCGTGAAGGGGCAGGTGGCCTGGGAGGGCCTGGCCTTGCCCAGGTGTGGTGATGTGCTCCAAGCATGATGAGACATGGGCATGTGGCTTAGAGCTCTCGTGCCTTCCTCTGCCAGATGCTGATTTTCCGAGCCAGGAGGTAAATAAGACAGTTCCTCCCCATCAGAAGGCCAGTGTCGCCTGCTGCCCTAGACCTGCCCGCCTGCCCGCTCCTGGGGATGTTTTTGCCCTCCCTCAGAAGGGACTGTTTGTCACTCATCTGTGTAGCATGCCCCCTCCCTGACCTGTCCCCACTTTTGGCTGAGACCCAGGTGGCTGCAGGAAGAGCAGGGCCACCTGCCTCCCCTCAAGGGATGCGATCTGTGCCCATGTGACGGAGCTGCCTCACTCTGTGCTGTCGCACGGCCCCTTTCTGGGGGCCTGCATGAGACTCCAGATTTGGGACACAGGGAATGAATTCCCTGCTCTGTCCCCAGCTTCTCAGCTCCTATCTCCTGGAGTCCCAGGAAGAAAAGCACCTTGTCTGGATCTCCGAATCTCCTAGGGCAATTCCAGGGACTCCTGGGTAACGAGATGGACTTGGCCAGGTTGCCCAGGGTCCCTGGGGAAAGCCAGTAGGATGGATGGACAAATGTCAGGGAAGGCTTAGGGTGTGGCCCCAGCAGCCTCGACCCAGCCATGTGGTTGACTCATGTGCACCTTCAGGGACCCTGTGCCACACCTTCCACCTTGGACATGAGGCCTGGGCAGCCCTGCCTGCCCTGTGCTAGCCCTCGGAAGACCCGAAATGCCATGTGGCTGTAGGGCATTCTCCAGAATTGCAGGAACTCTGGAGGAGGCAGATTAGCACACTGCAGTCCCCAGGAAGGAAACCTGGGGTAAATGAGCCCCAGGGGCAGGCCTTACACCCTGTGGTTGGCAGGAAGGAGGCCACAGGGAAGTGGACAGAGGCACAGGGCAGACATAGAGGATCCGCCCTGGCGGGAGCCCAGAGTGGTAGCCTGACAGCTTGTGCAGACCCGGGGTCGGGGGAGCCCCCGCGGAGGCAGCGGAAGACGTGGGTAAAGCCTAGTCCCGCACCCCTGGTCCAGCCACACCCTTCCTGAGCCTCCTTGTCCTCACCATAAACAGAGCCAGGAGTCTCCTGCCTGTCCCCACATGAGTCCTCCCTATGTTCATGCTGGTGGGAGAGGCGCTTCCTGGGAGTGAACTGACAGGGACCAACTCACAGGGGCCGCCTAGCCTGATGGGTTCTCGGGCTTGAGGGAGGAGCTGAGGGAAGGAACCTCTCTCATTTGCTCATCATTCATTTCCTTCCGCTGATATTTACCAGCACCTGCCACGTGCTCGGGGCACAGAGTCATGGCGGGGAGCAGGACGGACACCCTGTCTGCTCTCGTGGCACTCACCCAGGTAACTGAGTGCCAGGTACGACAGGTGCTGGGAAGAGAACTAAAGCGGTTGGTGGGGGGTCCTCTGTGTAGAGGGGCTGTTGGCGCAGCACGGTGGAGAGGTGATGGGCGAGTTGTGTGAACAACAGGGAAGAGCACAGTGAGGGGGTGGTAGCAGGTGCAAAGACCCTGAGGCCAGTGTATTTTTGCTGCTGGAGGCCCCACCACCACCAGAAGGCCAGATGGCTGGAGCCAGAGGGGGGCAGTTGAATCATGGAGAAGGTCAGATAGGATCACACTTTTAAAAGACCTGGCTGGCCGGGGGGTATGGGGGCAAGACCAGAGTCCACCAGGGGTTGCTGCAGCATTTGGGGGGAAGGGCTGCTGACTCAGTGGGGTGGGAGCGGGAGTGGTAGTGATAAGTGTT